AGAGTAGATCTAGAGTAACTCCGTTGAAGTCAATGGAATTAATATAGATTTACACTGCTGCAAATGAGATCAGAATCTGACCTAGTGTTCCCTTCCAGAATAATTTACAATTGAAGGGCCCAATCCTGCAAATATCATGCGTTAGGGATGGTAAAATCAGGCCCCAAGTTAAAACATTACCTAGCATGGTAGATGAGGGTTGCAATGGTGAGATTCTGCGGTTCCTTAGGTTAGTAGTGTGAACATTTTGAGAGTTACATAAAGTTTTTGTTTTAAGATGTTGTGATACTGAAGGGAAGTTTCATGTTTGTAGGGCTCAAGAAAGGAAGATTAAGCGGAGGGATGTGGGGAGGGGAGCTGAACTGTGCAGGCTTGAAAGTGAGGACAAGCAACTTAAATCTGATGTGGAAGACAAGTCAAAACTAGTGAAGAGATATTTAGGTACTGTGTCTGTCTGTCTGTATGTGATACAGACACTTCTATTTCTGTATCACTTATAAATTATATATTACATGAAAAATACCTCTGGGGAATGAGAAGAATAACAATAATGAAAACAAGTCATTTCCCCTCATTCCAAGCTCTTCACCCAGCCAAATACAACTGCAAAGCTCTGAGGCCGACAGTCTGTACTTGCCAGCACTTGAGAACTTTAAACATGGACATTATGGGAAAAACGATAGCGACTCTAATGAAATACACTGTACCGGTGAGCTTTGGGGACAGCTACAGTGGGAAACCGATTGCTACTCTGCTTAGAAAATAGGGGCTGCTCTGTCACTCCTAACAAGAGACACTTGGCATGTCTGTCTTAGTGCTGGCAGAGTGAAGGCCTTTTACATAAACCAGGGCTTCAACTCTTATCGGAATGGCCCAGTAAACAACACCTGTAGACATGAGGTCTGAAATCTCGCCATCCACACAGACAGAAATAAAGCTGGTGGAAAACAATGTCCTTATCAGAGGAGGTCCGACTGCAGCACTCACCCTTCCTGGCTGGAGGAGGTTGCTTTGCCCCCTGACACTGTGCTCAATGTGTACCAGCTTCTGCAAGTTTTCCTGAGGGAGAGAAAGAGAGTTTAGGAGGTGGGATGGTGATTGTTCTTTAGACAAGCAGACGTACCCTCCCCTCACTCCCCACCAAGAGATAACATTGACATTAAGCAGTTTGGAGTCAAAGCAGAGACACCCAGACAAGGTTGGGCCAAATGGGATTTTAGGACCAGATTGACCTAATGGGGCCTAACAGTTTTGTGGGGCTTTATCGAGCTGCTTCCCCACCTGTGGTTGGGTTGCCATACATCTGTCTGTCCATGACACTCCCACTTGCTGCTTCCTATCCCCACACAGTGCCCATTACTGATCATAGAAGATCAGGAGATCATATAGTCCAACCCCCTGCTCAAAGCAGGACCAACCCCAACTAAATCATCCCAGCCAGGGCTTTGTCAAGCTGGGCCTTAAAAACCTCTAAGAATGGAGAGTCCACCACTTCCCTAGGTAACCCATTCCAGTGCTTCACTACCCTCCTAGTGAAATAGTTTTTCCTAATATCCAACCTAGACCTCCCCCATTGCCACTTGAGACCATTGCTCCTTGTTCTGTCATCTGCCACCACTGAGAACAGCCGAGCTCCATCCTCTTTGGAACCCCCCTTCAGGTAGCTAAAGGCTACTATCAGATCCCTTCTCACTATTCTCTTCTGCAGACTAAACCCTCAGCCTCTCCTCATAAGTCATGTGCCCAACCCCCTAATCATTTTTGTTGCCCTCTGCTGGACTGTCTCCAATTTGTCCACATCCTTTCTGAAGTGCGGGTCCCAAAACTGGACACAATACTCCAGATGTGGCCTCACCAGTGCCAAATAGAGGGGAATAATCACTTCCCTCAAACTGCTGGCAATGCTCCTACTAATGCAGCCCAATATGCTGTTTGCCTTCTTGGCAACAAGGGCACACTGTTGACTCATGTCCAGCTTCTCGTCCACTGTAATCCCCAGGTCCTTTTCTGCAGAACTGCCGCTTAGCCAGTCGGTCCCCAATCTGTAGCAGTGCATGGGAATCTTCCTTCCTAAGTGCAGGACTCTGCACTTGTCCTTGTTGAACCTCATCAGATTTCTTTTGGCTCAATCCTCCAATTTGTCTAGGTCACTCTGGACCCTATCCCTAACCTCCAGTGTATCTACCTCTCTCCCCAGCTTAGTATCATCTGCGAACTTGCTGAGGGTGCAATCCATCCCATCATCCAGATAATTAATGAAGATGTTGAACAAAACCAGCCCCAGGACCAACCCCCTGGGGCACTCTGCTTGATACTGGCTGCCAACTAGACATCGAGCCATTGATCACTACCCGTTGAGCCCGGCAATCTAGCCAGCTTTCTATCCACCTTATAGTCCATAGATACATTAGGCTCTGTAGTGACATTCTTCCTCCAGGATCCAGGAAGCGAGGAGCTGGAGGCAAAGTATGCTGCTCCCCTCCCCCATAAATACACTCCCTAAGGGCCCACACATTGCTGTCTCCTTTTACCAAATAGCTGCTCTTGCTGAGGTGACACGGGTAATTGAAAGCACTTTAGAACTATTGCTAGGATTATCTGGGGTTTTACATTCAGGATTAATAGATTTGTACCAGGGGTCTGAAAGGTTAACTAGCGAGCACGGTTCTTCCTTTCAAAAGCCTTGCAAAGATCAGGAAGCTCATTACCAAAGTCTGATACTGTTAACTGCTTACCTGGCCTGAGCGGCACAGGCACAATACATGAGTGCCGCAAGTTGGATCAACTTAGCACCCAGCATGGTATGTAAAATGAATCTAACCAAACCAATGCTCCCACTAAAGGAACGGTATCAATCAGAAGGCACCTATTTATACTGGGGGAAGGGAAGAAGTTTTAATTATTGTCATTACTTTGACAACTTTGGTAAAGAGTCTCTATCAGCATCTCAGGTCTCCTCTCTGCTATAGGGTGACACTCCACCCTCCCCAGTCCCTTTTTATTTGGCAGACAGTACTGTTGAAATCCTGGATACCAAGGGATCTGGATGACAAGCTCAGGCGATTTAGTTAGGATTTCTTCTGATTACTATTGCAGTAGGAGACCAAAAGAAGCTGCCGAGCAGCGGCAATGGGACCTCACTGGGATACATTGAGGGCAGGTATCTAAAAATTAGGACTGTGCTGCCTGTAATAAACTGTAAAGGTTTAAAGGGTAATACAGCCCTTTCTTAGCTCAGAATAGTGAATGCTTCTCAGAGCAATAGGTTCCTCTAATACTACTTTGAGCTTCTGCTTGTGCATGTGTAAAATGCCAATATTTTCTTAGCCCCACAGCACTCATGTGAGGTAATTTGTAAAATGTTTTGAAATCCTGGGATAAAAGCGGTTAGGGGAAAAGGTGCTAGTGCTTCTCAAGCTATCTGATGTGGGGGACCGGCAATTTTTTCCCCCAATGTGCCAGGGACCGGTGCCACATTATTATCCTATTCGACGCTCTTATGAGGAAACTTGCTGCGGACCAGCAGCCGATGGCTCGCGGACCGGCACCGGTCCGTGGACCACCACTTTGAGAAGCACTGCGCTAGAGTATTGTTACCATTAAAGAAAATGCTAATAAATTAATTCTTGGTGTTCCATAGAAAACATAGGCTGTAATTCAATGCTCCTGTCAGATTTGGAAGTGTAGTATGATGTGTTAGTACCAACAGGACTCTCCCTCCTATCCCAAGTCTAAATTATAGTCTAGGAATTCATCCAGATACATGTCAAGTTATTAATACTGTATTCTGAATGACTCTGAGTCTGTTCCGTAATTAGAGTCAGCTGTTAACTGCTTTGCATTGATAATTTATGAATAAGAGAAGAAGGAGCTGTGGATTTGTGTGCGCTTGTATATGAATGGGTTACGATAGCGGGAATACAGCTTCCAAGACCAGCAATTTGACTCTCATGAAATCTGCCCCTCAAGAAAACAAAGTGCATTTACAGAGGTTGGGGAAGGAGGAAATTGTGTTTAATCTCTTCCATGTCACTGCTTTAATAATATGATATTATTATTGTGATAATAACATGATAAAAATAAAGTGCAAAAGTCAATATGGAAGTTTAGAGGAAATGGTTCTGAAATAAACTCTTAATCAGCAAAAATTATACAGTCCACCACTTCAAAGCCCAAAGAATCTCCAAATGCTGTGCAAACTATGGCCCAGATTCTCTGCTGTGCCCTCCAAGGGAGGAAATGGGGGAGGGGTGGCATTAGAGAGCCAGTTGCACAGGCTAAAGGATCTGGGTTTCTGGGATAGTACAGTGGGGTGACACATACTCCTCAGCAAACTCACAGAGAAGACAGTACCAATCATCAAATCACAACTCACCCCTTGCTGCATGCTGTCGTTGGCTCGGTCCGTAATTTCAGAGACCATGAGTAAGGCAGCTGAGGGGGTGAAGCAACACAGAAAGGCACAAAGCACATGAGAGGTTAGAAAAAGCAACCTATATCCCACCTTTTTATAAATACATCTTTTAAAGAAATGCATTGGCTAAGCTGCATTGGCACCTTCAGGGGCAAGCTGCCCTTAATAACTAGGATCCCAAACAGTCCTCCTTGCTTTCCACATCAGGTCCCCTCTTTCCTTCCCTTTGTCTCCCTCTTGCTATAATACCGTGAGTCAAGCTTGCCCCAAACAAGAACGCTCATGGGACCATCTTTAGTTGCTTAGGAATTTCACCAAATCATCTTGTGACATATCTTCCAGTAGCAGTTTTTTGTAAGCGTGACAGTTTATCTTTAGCTTATGACTAGTGCTTTAAAGGTGGGCCACGTTCTGCTTTCATTTATATATAGGGTCAATCAGGAGTAACCCAATTCATTTCAACTGAGTTACTCCAGGTTCACATTGGATGTGCCGAGAACAGTATTTGCTTGATTAATATAACATTAGCCTTGATCCCCCTGTGACCTCATACTGACTTCAATGGGAGTAACCCACGACGATTATTCCAAGGCAACTAAAAGGCCCTATCCTGATAGGTGCTGAGCACCTCATTAATTCTTTATTTTGAACAAGCTGATTTTGATATGTTGTCTCTCAAGTGTATGTGGGCTGGTCAGAGCTCAAGGAACAAGTATAGACCAAGTCTTCCTGCTGATTCCAGATCTCTGCAGCATCAGCACCAGTGTAAAACAATGGTGAGCTGCAAGTTCATTCTGGGTAATGGCATGCAAATAAACACATCAGGCCATCCCACTTTGCTTCAGAAGTATCATACCCAGCATGGGTATGCCAAGACGGGATTAGGATTTAGCTGGTGGCTGAGCTCTGGGAATGAACCAAAAAGTTTGAGCTATGCTTGTGAGTGCACTCAGTTCTCTTTCTGTAGGCTCTGCCTGCCGGAGCTATAGGAATTCCCCAAATCTTAACCTCCAGATCTTTACTGCATGTGCTTGTGAAATAGCAAGGGACTGTCAGAGACTTTGCTCTGCTCTGTTTTAGAGCTGGATATGAACCAATCCTTCATCAACCTTAAATTTTGGGAAGGTGGAGGTAGTTTCCAGAATCCCCACTCCAGATCTGGATAAAAATTCTCTGGCTAGCCCAATGTGCTGAGCCCAAACAATTCAGAACTTCATGAGTTTTTGAAATCTGGGATTGGATCCCAGTTCTGTGGCTCATACTTGCCTTTATTTATTCACAGGCTGAGAAGGCAAGGTAGGAGACAGACAACAGCAGTCTGACTTCCCTCTTACTTGCCCTGCACATGACCTCAAACCTACTTTAAAAGGTTGCCTCCTCCTTCTTCCTCACAGTATTAGGAGGTGGGTCAAGTTTCCAAGTTAATGTGACCATAGGCCTCTGATGCTGAGCAAAAACAACCGACTGGCAGCTGAACTTGTGTTTGAACTTCCATTTCAGTGAGAAGATCCTGCCTCAGGCCATTCCACATGAAATACGGAAATGGGACAGAATGCAGCTTTACATTGTGCCTTTCACACTCATTGTGGCTGAGTCTGATCTTACTTACACCATTTATACACTGCTCTAAACTCCATTCACTCCAGTGGAGTTACTCCGGATTTACACTTGTGTAAGAGAACAGTCAGACCCATGCAACCTGAGATCACTCTATACTAATGAACACAGCATCTCTCTGGCCAATATTTTCTCCTATTAGAAAAATCAGACCGCTTAATTTTTTATCCAGAAGTTTCAGATTTTTTTTTAGCAGATTTGGTCATTCTGAATGTATGACTGGTCAGACACAGCCTGCTCTGATACCATTGGGAATTGAGGGTCATGCCATAAGTTGTTGTATTAATAATTAATATACTTGGCCCTGTACAAACCCAAAAATGCACGGTCTCTGCTCAAAGAGTTTATACTGGAGAGGCAATCTCCCCTAAATTAACAGTGAGACCTCAGATCAGACCTATGCCATTGCAGTCTGGGCTTCATTCACACATTCCTGGGACAGATCGCACTGCTAGTTATTTATAATACTAAATAAAAGTTTCTCTTCTACCATTTGAAATTACCTTGTGTGTCTTCATACTCTGCAGAATCAGGACAAAGGTTATTCAAGTAATCTGTAGGAAACAATCAGATATAGAACATCCAGTAAATTCCCACATAATTAAAGAGTTTGGATTGACTAGTTGAAACACACAACCGTAATAACGCATAACCCTTTACTCTTTTAAAAATCACCTATATGGGAAACAAAGGGAGGTCTGGATAGATTTAATTTCCTTCCAAAATTAAACTTGGCTTTTTTTTAAAAAACGAGTTTTGTTTTGATATTTTGGGCTCATTCAAATCTGAGATTCAAAGCAAAGAATGTCAGGTGTAAAACCTCACTAACTGGAACTAACTAAAATGTTTCCCTGTTTCTCAGACAAGAGAAGCTGCTGAGTGTGACACAGTTTGATTAATAAATGGTCTCCGATGAACATTTTCTATTTTCCCATTTGAATGCATGGTACTAGATATAATTACTGATTTCCTATATTAATAGGAAAATGGACATAGTAGTATAATTCAATATTTCTCAATGTTCCAGTGTTTTGGACATAGAGAATTTCAGTAATGATCACAGGAGCTAAATCTTGCAAACCTTTACTCACTCAAACAGTTCCATTGGCTTCAGGAGCACTACTCGTGTGAGTCAGGGTATTTTTCTCTCTCTCTCTAGTTCCTTATGTGACCCTCATCACTGTAGTATCTGGGTGCTTTTATTTATTAAATCCCAATCCTGAAACTATTTACTCTTTTAAATTAGCTCTTTGATTAATGCAAGCCCCCAAATTTCACATTTGAGAATCAGGTCTATACCCCAAAGTGCAACATGGATCATGGAAACCGCTTCCCCCCTCCCCCCGTCCTCAGTCTCCCCCTCTCATGTGAGTTCACTTCTTCCAGGTCCTCCCACACCTCTTAACTGTACTGGTCTCTCATCTGGATTCTGGAAGGTTAAGAGGAGTCTGCTATTGTGCCTTTCAATGCCTAGTCTGGCAGGGAGGTAATGTGCTGTGTTGGCATGCTGTATTTAGGTTTCCCTTTCCCAGCTGCATTCTCTGTACTTGGCTAGAGACATTTAACTAATGTGGGCAACTCCTTTTGGCTGTAGCACAGTAATTGGCAACCAGTGTTGAGATTAAATACCTTTCCTTATCTGGGTAGAAACAGCTAGTTGTGAACATAAGAGCCGGTGTATTTTATTTTTCACACTGTGCAGAGAAATTGAATGACTGTACCTTAACAAACCCTGCCTGTCCTATCATCTGAGGGCATCTGGTAGCATCCATGGACTTCTCTAAACCTAGATGAACTGTTGCAGCCACCTATAGTTTAGAATGTCTTGCAATGCCTATATAATACCTTGTATCTGCATGCAACAGCCATCCTAGGTGATTTACAAGCATTGGTTATACCAGTTGGCTGCAATGCCCAGAACAAAGACTATCTCATGTCTGGGTGTATCAGTACTATTTACAATCGATATCTACAATAGTTTCTCCTGACTGTGAATGGAAATACACAAGCATTACAGCTACACTGCTTCTCCTAACTTTGTCTGACAATGAAGTTCCTCGTGTTTGGTAACCGCCCTAAAACTCTCAGCAATAGTGCTGGCTCCCATAGGATTAAGTGCACCTGAAGTCCCAGAATATACTGTGGTGGTAAGGGGCACTGTGTGTGTGGACACGCCAAATCCATTCTATCAGAACAGTGTTGCTGTATGGATGCATGTAACCTCTATAAGGACAAAGCAAGACAGCTAAATGTCACATGCAACTGCTGTTCCTTGAAAGGCTCCATCACCTAGTGTAGATATACCCAGAGAGGGAAGCAAGTCAGTCTAAAATATCCTCCTACTGGTATGTAGTGCTCAATTGAGTCACTGTTACTAAAAAAGCAGAAACAGCTGTGAAAAATGAGTTGCATCCTTGATCAATGTGTTTGGAGCAAGATGAAACTGCTGCTAATCTGTGCTGTGAATAACATTTCAGACAATCCCTTTGTTCTGCTGCATTTATAGGAGTCCCCTCTAATATGCTCTTCCTTTTATCAGCTGTTGAGTATGGGAGGGGTTTACTGCTTCCTTCTCACTGTCCCACACTTAGGTTATCTCCCATCTTTCCCCACCCACACACATACATACACCCAATATGGTTCTTTATCTTTACATCTAATGATCTCTGGTTTCCTGTGATTCCATCTGATGTACTGACCTGCCACCACATCTGCTGTGCTGTGCTGTTAGATTTCACCACTTCCCGCCCCAACCAATTCACTGCTGTTCCCTTGTAGGGAGCCTCAATATCCTAAACCTGTGCACTGAGTGTTCATGACATGATACTGGGTCCTCTCCCTGTTGGAACGGCTGCTCCTCCCACAAACTGCAGCTTTGGCTGGAGTGGATTAGCAGTGGGCAGGATGAGAAGGAGCAGCCCCGAGAAGCCAGAACCTCAGGGGACATTCCTGAGGAGAAAAAGAGCATTCTACAGAGTGTGACACATGTCCAGGATAGGGGGGAGCATGGAGAGAGATTTTGTGGTGTGGCAAAGTTGAGACGGGAGTTTTTCCAGAGTTCAGAGGTGTTGGCTCCAGGATTTTGGTTCAGGATCATCTCTAGCTTTAAGTGACCCATGTATGGGCTAACCTCTGAATGGCATCATAAGTAAAATCAAACGTATGTGCTGACAACAAGTGCCTGGGCACTCTTCCTTCCCTACCCGTGGATACCAATATGGGTAAGTCCAGGAAAATGAGGCTTACAAGAGTCTGACTTTGCACACTCCAATCCTATAGTTATACTTCAGCATGATCTCACTAAACAGGGGTCTTTCTCCCTTCACTATGCCCATAGCTGTCATTAACCCCCAGTGGCCTGTCCAGTGTGCAATTCAATCATTCGCCAGAGCTAGATCACACATTTGTAGCTCAGGCCTATCTCTATTAATACATGATAATTTCTCTATTCTATATTAAACAGATCGTTGCTCCCTGGGGATTCCAGCCCGTTGTTCTGACCGCATTCTGTCCTCCCCAACCCTGGCCTGCCATCTACATCTGGCCCCGGCACGGTGCAGGAAAGACGGGGCTCTGTTATAGCAAGTTTAGAAGTGCTTTCATCTTGCTGACCTGTGAGTAGCACGCGGTACTGGAATATGCGCTGCACCACTTTCAAAAACTGGTGTTTCACATTCAGAGGGCTGCCGCCAGGATCCTGCTGTCCTCAAGAGAAGGGGAAAAACACAACAGTCAGTGCTCTGTAGTCTGAGTCCTGGATTATGACCTCACATGCCTAATGCACCCCCTGGAGAATCTGCCATGGTGACTACATACACCAGTGCTACTGAGCTGTTTCCCATTTATCCACCTAGCTGCATATATTTCAGAACTTAGATCTGAATCTTCATCTCTATAAAGAACCAATAGCACCATTCATATGCAGTATCACAAAATAGTTCAGGCCGAGGTGGAGGAAATAAGAAAAAGAGAGGCAGAGAACCAATCAGAAGCTAAGGTCAGAAGAAGAGATTTTAGAATGATATCCAAGGAGCCAAAGCAATCAAATCAGCATGCAGCTTGCTGGCTTCCCATAGGCCTTTTTGCCATTTTTCAGATTTTATGTCCATTGGGTTTCACTTTAAGAATCAGGCTTGTGTGGGCCAAATACAGCAAAATACCCCAATGAGACTAAATTAGGGAAGCGGAACCTCCAAACACCTTGCCAAGGTCCTCCAACAAAAAACAAAACAAAACCCAACAATCCCTCAGTTGGTTTGATTTCCATGTCCAACTCCCCAAACTAGCTGAGTTGCATATGGCTTCAGCTTTCGTTGTTCAATATTTGCACAGCTCTAGCAGTGACTTGGAAAGAGAGGAAGAGGGACAATGTTAACAGTGATAGGAATGTTTCAGAGTAGCAGCCGTGTTAGTCTGTATCCGCAAAAAGAAGAACAGGAGTACTTGTGGCACCTTAGAGACTAACAAATTTATTAGAGCATAAGCTTTCGTGGACTACAGCCCACTGGAATATGATCTAATCAAAGAAGGCAGACAGAAGAAGGTCCAGTTTCAGACCGCTTTGTTATTGCTATATTTAGCTGCCAGCGATGAGCACTCTGGAAATATGGTAGTGTAGATGGAGAGATAGATATGACACTTTAATGTCTTTGTCGTCCCAGGGTGACACTGGCCCTTTAAGAGGCCAGTGCACCTGACCCCCCCAGATAGGCTTAAAAGAGGGCAGCTGGGCTCTAGAGGGAGGAGGTCCCTGAAGGAAGATAGGAAAGGGCAGGTGAGAACTCCCTAAGCACAGAGGATAGACAGAAGGAGCAGTAGAGAGTTGCTTGGGGAAACCTACAGCAATCAGAAATCTCCACAGGCCCTCACTGGAAAGAGGAAGGAATTGCCAGGTAGCCAGGAGCACCGCCAGCTTTTTTGCTGTCCTAGGCGGCGGAAGGTCCCGCCTCCGAAATGCCGCCCCCGACAAAGGCGGTGGAAGGTCCCACCCCCGAAATACCGCCGACGACCAGGGTGGCCGAAGATCCGGTCACCGCGGTTGCCACCCCCCAAATGTTAGCGCCCTAGGTGACTGTCTAGGTCACCTAATGGGTTGCACCGGCCCTGCAGGTAGCTAGCAGAGAGAGTTGCCTGCTGGCCTTCCTGAGCCAGAGAGCTCTGACCAGAGAAGGCTGGAGGGGACTGAAGGCAGAGAGCAGCAGAGGGAGATGCCTGCTAGCTGTGCGAGCCAGAGAGCTGAATCTGGAGGATCAGAGAGGGCGGGAGGCTGGGGTGAGGGCTCTTACTTTGTGGTGAGAGATGCTGAAGCTGCAGAGAGCCTGAGCATGGTGAGAAATGCCAGGGCTGTATGTTGGTGGATTGTTGGGGACCTGGCTTGTTATAGCTTATATGCATGGGGCTTTCTTTTGTAATAAATTAACCCAGCAAGAGCTATTTATACTCAGAAAGACAGCTTGGACTATTTCTGGGACCATTCAAGAGGAAACTGAGGCTGGCACACTGGTTGTGCTGCTGCCTGATGCCAGAGGGTGCTGCAGATGGTGGGCACTTTCTGACTGTCTTATATATTCAAAATGCTGTGTAAACAGTAACTTATCAAACCCTCACAACACCTCTCTGAAGGAGGTAATTATTAGCCTCTTCAGAAACTGAAATGCAATCAGGTTAATACATGACTTGTCCAAGGTTACACGCTGACCCAGTGGGAAAGACAGGATGAGAACTCTTGTGTTCTTGGCACCTAGTGCTGTGTTCAGTCCACTAGCTCTGCTCACCATCCCGTGCTATAGCAAATTAGATGAATGGACCTGTACAGATGTGGGATCAACCCTTCCTTCCCTTAACTGTGGGGAGACAAGGGAAAGGATCAGCACATTGCCTTCTGGGTGGCCAATCCTATCAACCTTTAAGATATGATTTTTGTCTGCAATTAAGAATCATTCCATCTATCAGCAAAAGGGGAGCATGTTGTTCACTGAAATTATGGCAGCTGTGAAAATAACCAGTGGCTAATTACACCAAGACCGTGAATGAGATGGACAAATACAGACTGATTTAGCTGAGGAGTATATAAATTGAGCAATAAATGTCACAGATTCACAGATTCTAAGGCTAGAAGGGACCACTGTGATCATCTAGTCTGCCTTCCTATATAACACAGGCCCTAGACCTTTCCCAAAAGAATTCCTAGAGCAGATCTTTTTGGAAAACTATCCAATCTTGATTTTAAAATGGTCCGTGATGGAAAAACCTCCACGACCCTTGGTAAATTGTTCCAACTGCTAATTACACTCATTGTCAAAAATTTTCACCTTATTTCCAGTCTGAATTAGTCTAACACCTACTTCCAGCCATTGAATCACATTGTACCTTTCTTTGTTAGATTGAAGAGCCCATTATTAAATATTTGTTCCCCATGTAGATACTTACAGACTGTAATCAAGTCATCCCTTAACCTTCTCTTTGTTAACCTAAACAGATTGAGCTCTTTGAGTCTATCACTATAAAATATGTTTTCTAATCCTTTAGTCATTCTTGTGGTTCTTCTCTGAACCCTCTCCAATTTATCAACATGCTGCTTGAATTGTGGGCACCTGAACTGGACAAAGTATTCCAGCAGCAGTTGCACCAGTGCCAAATAGAGGTAAAATAACCTCTGTGCTCCAACTTGAGATTCCCCTGTTTATGCTTCCTAGGATTGCATTAGCTCTTTTGGCCACTGGGAGCTCATATTAAGCCAATTACTCACCAGGCCCCCAAATCTTTCTCAGAGTCACTGCTTCCCAGGCTAGAGTCCCCCATTCTGTAAATATGGTCTGCATTCTTTGTTTTTAGTTGAATACGTTTACATTTAGTTGTATCAAAACACACATTGTTTGCTTATGCCCAGTTTATCCTCTGAATCTGTGACCTGTCCTCTTCATTATTTACTACTCTCCTAATTTTTGAGTCATCTGCAAACTTTATCAGTGAGGATTTTATGTTTCCTTCCAGGTCATTGATAAAATGTTAAAAAGCTTAGGACCAAGAACCGATCTCTGAGGGACCCCACTGGAAACACACCCGCTAGATGATGATTCCCCTTTTATAGTTACATTTTGAGACCAATCAGTTAGCCAGCTTTTAATCCACTTAATGTGTGCCATGCTTATTTTATATTGTTCTAGTTATTTTAATCAAAATGTTGCGGGCTACCAAATCAAATGCTTTACAGAAGTCTATTACGTCAACACTATTACCTTTATCCACCAAACTGGTAATCTCATCAAAGATAACAAGTTACTTTGACAGGATCTATTTTCTATAAATCCATGTTGATTTGCATTAATTACATTATCCTCCTTTAATTCTTTATTAATTGAGTTACATATCAGCTGCTCCATCATCTTGCTTGAGATCTATGTCAGACTGGCAGGCTCATAATTACCCAGGTTATTCTATTTGCCCTTTTTAAAAATTGGCACAACATTAACTTTTTCACAGTCTTCTGGAACTTCCCCAGTGCTCCAAGACTTTTATTGAAAATCAGCATTAATGGCCCAGCAATCTTTCAACCAAGGAAACCTAGTCAAGTTCACTGATGTATCTAGGCCAACTCTACAGGTTCATACGGATCATCTGGCATTGAGGGACTGTTTAATGGCTTGGGATAAGTTAGGCTGCCTTGGTTCTGGTTAGAACTACAGAAATAAGATCACCCTGTCCCTGCCATGTAATTTTACTCTTAAACCCCACCACAGAGGTGCAAATATTTCTGCACCTATTTTGCAATTGCCACCCCAATCCTGTTTTTTGAAAAATTGGTCCTTTAGCACCTAACACAGTGAAAACTACAAACAGCTGTGCCAGCTTAAAAATCAGGGGGGAAACCCCCCTCACTTTTCTTCCTTTCTTTTTTAAATGCACAATTGATTTTATGATTATTTATTCCTCTCTTTACACAGTTGTGAGTGAACAGAAGCCCCAGGATAGCAAAAGCACAGTACGCTCCTGAGCTTGGATTTATGACTCAAATCAAAATCCTATTAACTCTGATCGTAGCTGAACTTCAAAGCAACGCCCTGATGAAAAGCATTAACACCAGAGCCCTTATCCTTTCTTGTGTACCAGGGGCCAAGGTGCACCTCTATGATTGCTCTGCCTCTGCCTCCAAGGGCAGTGAGTGGATGGCAAAGGGGACAGTCAGAATCATTTGGAAAACTCCAAAGGCAGATTGAGAAGAAAACAATTGAACTGATTAATGCCTTAGACCAGAGGTTCTCAAACGGTGGTCCGTGAGCACCACTCAGGTGGTCCGTGAGCACCACTCAGGTGGTCGGCGGATAGTTCCCTCTAAGGTGCGCGCCTGGGTGGCCACACACAAGAGAATGAAGGGCCAGCCACCTAATTAGTGGAGCTGTGCAGGCGTAGCTCCCCTAATTAGGTGCCTGGACCCTGGAGAAGATGCAGATGTAAGGTGAGGTGGTGGCCTTGGTGGGAATGGGGGGGTAGGTTGGAGGAGGCAGTGGGCTGAGAAGAGGGGGTGGGGGGAATTTGGGATGTGCAGGGCTGTGGCAGCCAGAGAAAGAGGCGACTATCCCCAGCTCCAGAGCTGTGGCTGACAGGGAGAGATGGCCCTCCTTTCCAGCCTCAGCTCTGTGGCTGCTGTGGTGGGGGAAGAGACCGCCCCTCCTGCCCAGCCCCAGCTCGGGGGCTGCTGTGGCAGGGAGAGAGGGCATATCCATGGCATTAGAAATGTAAGACTACTGATATTAAAACATGAGTTGTGTGCTTTTATTTCTAGGAAAAAACATTTATTACGTTTTTTTATATAGCACTTTTATCCAAAGCACTTTACAATAGTTAGCTAACAGTACAAACAGCATTTGGAAAGATCATTAAGTGGTCCACCGAGACCATCTGCAATTTTCAAGTGGTCCACGAAAATAAAAGTTTGAGAACCACTGTGCTAGACAACATGAAGAGGATTAAGGGCCCAATCCTGCAAAGTGCTGACCAACTCCTGGTTGATGTATAGTACACTCAACCCTGAGCATTAAAGTCAAGGGGAGCCAAGCCCGCAGCAGAATCAACATGGGGCCCTAAGCTCTGAGTTGATGGGCTAGAAGGGTAATAAATCTTAGGTGCTCCCATTTCTAAGAATGAGATGAGAAGGGTCTGAATGTTACCCCTTTTTCTGGATGAGCCTTCTGTTCAAATCCGGCTTCTCTTACTCATAGGAGCAGCCCCACCGGCTTCTTTGTAAGTAGGATTTGGCCCTCAGTTTGTATCAGGAAGACAAGAAGGTGCAGGGTAGATTGGCTGAGTGTGATAAGGAGCACAGTGGTTGTCAATAAAAAGCCTGCATTTGCCAAGTTTCTGCCCAGTGGAGCGTGAGATTCCAGCCCTCCCCCCTGCTTAGAACAGGAAATTACATCAGTGACCATAAGGTATCTGTTGGCAAATGTTGACTTTCAAATGTCAGACATGCTGCAGAGGAAGACATGATCCATACCTCATGGAACTGACATTCTAAATAACCTTTAAAGTATCAGAGCCTATTTATCCTCACAGCCTCCCTATCACCTAAATGTTGTTTATTCCCTTTTTTTACATGATGGGCAACAAAGGGGCATCCTTTTCAATTGTATTAACTTAGTCAGGTTAGCTTAACGTGCTTGAAAAGCCCCATCAACACACAGGCTAACACATCAGCTGGCTATGCTGTAGCTAGTCTGAACTGTGGCCAGCCATTGTGGCTTCAAAGGCACTAGCCTGCGTCTTGGTGGTCTTTTCAATCTGTTCTGTATAGGTTCTTATACCACGATTATCATCACAGTATGTTAATTGGGTGAAGCCAGATGAGCTAAACATAATTGAAAAACACACTTTTTGCCCACCAGGACAAGGCCAGGAGAGGTTACTTGACTCACCGAAGACCACACAGTGAGTTGGTGGAAGCGATGGGAAGAGAGCCTAGAAGTTCTGACTCCCACATTTCTCTGGTCTTTTCAGTGGATTTTTTGCATGCCTTTTTTCCTATTATTGTTTCCCTGCCATAGCATGCCCTATTGGTTATTATGGAGGCATGCTGACTTCATAGCGTAGCAGGACAGACAGATAAGTAGGGGTAGCAGCAGAAGGAGCAATAAGAGGCTTTTTAAAATGTAATGAAATGCAGCTTTAAAGAGAAGAAGGAAAAGAGAGATGGAGGGGCAGAGAAGAGAAGGGATGATGATGATGATAATAATGTACATCTTATTATACAATTATATATTATAACATTTATACAGCTTCAAAGGGCTTTAAATATGCTAATTAATGAAAGGGGAGAGAAAAAGAGGGCTGAGATGGATTCCCCCAATACACACATGAGCAAACATACTCACATATATACACACATTCACTCTCTCTCTCTCTCTCTCTTCACTCCATGTGTCTCTCCAGAGTGTGTTCTGCAAGTGATCATTAAGATTCTTCCTCCACACCCTGTCTGAAGGCTGGTGAAATTGCAGACAGGAATATCTTTGAGACAGCAATGCAGTGCAACCATAAATTAATGCAAGTAGAGAAGTGAGAGGGGCCTCACCTCAAACTCCCGGATGACAGTGGCCAGCTGGGAAGATTTAAGGCAGGTTTCATCTAGCAAAGCCAAATTCCTATCAAACTGCATAATATATGCTGTGTGGTGATTGAACCTTGATTCTCTTGAGAGAAAAACGTCAGCCACTTTCTGGTGTTCCTCCCTAAAGCCACAGAAAGAGAAGAACAAGCCAATAAGTAACAAAAAATGCCCCACTTCATTCTGGTTACACAAATTCTA